TTCAAAGGCGTGCCATCCTCTGGATGGAGGCCAGACAGAAGTCGCTTGCGCACTGTGAATCTCTTGCCACTCTTCGGTGGACCTCGGCACTGCCACCCGTTGGTGGCCGCGTCCTGCACCCAGCACTGGCCACCGCCACAGGCCCCGGAGGCTCGGGCCCCGGCGAACGACCACCTGGAGACGTGCCCGGGCGGTCTGGCGGGTGAGATCAGCAGCTGGAGCGGATGCACAGCACGAAGGATTGCAATCCTTCGTTGCAATCCTTCGTTCAAATGAGGGCGGGGGGGCACGATTTGTTGCCCCTCCCGGCGGCAGAAGCAGCAGTCATCCAATACAGGGGTGTTGTTGAGAGATCGCCGCATGCATGCATGTGTTTTTGTTTGCCGTATCGCATTGCACGCAGTATTGTGTCGATCATGCACTTGCTGTGTTCGCATGCCGCTGCCATTTTCATTCGAGTCCTGACGAGCCCCAGCTGGGGCGAAACGTTGACACGCGTAGTGAAAAGGCACGGGCTTGAGAGCGCCATACGAGTAAGGTGTGCGGAGGCAGCCGCTCGCGCTCTCGCCCACATGGAGACTGCTGCGGCTTCAGCACTGCCGGGGGTGGCAGGAGAAGCTGGAGCAGCACCATCGCAAGCGTTGTTGACGGGTCACGAACGAGCATCAATCTTTGAACAGCGATTGGTACAGCGAGGCAGGGTCAACTCAAGGTCCCGAGGCGCAGCTCCAGGACGACCTGAAGCGCGTCAAGTACAGGGAGCAGCAGCACCACAGAATCAGCAAACAGTATGTGACTTGCTCATGGAGCAGAACCGTCTGCTGATGGATCAGCTGCAATGCATGCGAGGTCACATGCAATACGAGCAGCCCGACAAGATTCTCGATCGCATCGACCCTGCGGCCCGGAAGGTTTTCAACGACTGGTCCAAAAATTGCAAGCACGCCCTGGACTCCTGGGCGACCCAGCAGCACTTGGCAGACAAGTACGAGTCACTTGTGCAAAAAGGTCTGATGCATACGCATTTTGCGAGCGAGGCCAAATTCGAGTGGCAATGGCCGAAGTCGTTTCTTTTGGCCGAGGCTGGACAGCAGATGCAAGCAAATGGCCAAGATTTGGAACCAAATATTCTGCAGGATTGGAGGCGCATGAGACAACGGCACGCTCAAGAATGCATGGATTTTGTCGTGCAAACACAAAGAAGATGCCTCAACCATATGGCCACCAAAGTCAGAATCCAAGAGCCGAAAACGAGGATGCAGGAGGCTATCTTGGAATGGGCGTCAGAAATGTACCTGGGAGAACATTCCATCCGCGACTACATCACCGCGCAGGGCGTCGAGTACGTAGAGGCGGTGATGAGGCAGGAGATGCCTCGCGCAAAAAGCAAAGTCGACAAAGAACGCGAGCAAACAAGGAAACGAGGCGAACAAATACACAAAGCAGAGCACAAGTACAACCAGATGGACAACAAAGAGCTCCTAGCCATAGCCCTTTTCGAAGTCTTGGGCCACGCCAAGAAGAAATCGGGGAGTGGGAGTAAAAGGGAGCTGATTGTCAAGGAGACTGACGCAATTGGGTTCTTGCTTAAAGATCACGCGGAGACGGCCAAAGCGCACAACGTCAAGATCGTCCCCGAGAACGCCATGAAGAGGAGGAACACACCGGCGCCCTCGGGTAGACGGCGCAGCACAAGCCGCCCCGGCTCGCAAAGCTCTAGGGCGAGATCAACCTTGAGAGCTTCGAAGTCCGGACGGGCCTCGGCGCCGTCGCGCGGCACTCGATCCTCATCGAGGGCTTCCAAATCATCGCGGCCAGCATCATCCGCTAGGGGCAAGGCTCGTCCTTTGCCGACGGGGGTAAAGGCTGCAAGGGCAGAGGCAAGCAAGGCCGCGGCAAAGGGAAAGGCCGTGGCAACGGCAGAGGCAGAAACCCCAAAAACGAATGAGGGGCAGAGGCTATTGGATTGGAGGTGATCGGCTCGAAATCGACTTAAAGAAATACTGCGTCTCCAAAGTGTTGCGTGGACGATTGAGCCTCTTCGACCGCCCGAGCCACAAGGGTATCCATAACCTACTGCCCCCAGAATTTGCACGCACAGTGCCCACCTATGTTCTGGACTACCTTGCCAAAGGCAGCAAATTCATTCCAGACCGCGCTTGGGACAATGATTTCAGGTACGATTTCAGTTGTGCCCTCGTGCAGCTCCAGAGGCAGCTGCGCATCAAGAGCTACTTCTCCGACGCTACTTCCTCCCCCAGAGCTTCCAGGTGTAGACTGCGGTCTTCCTGGCAGCCACCACCGAATCCATACACTGATGCATTCGTCAACCTACTACGACGAGATTTGGAACATATATCTTTGCACAAGCCGCCGCTGAATACGAATTGGTTCGACCGGCAAGCAGTTTCATGGCTGAAACGCAACAGCGCTACCATCATGTGCGTCGATTGCGACAAGGGCCTCGGAGACGCCCTTGTGGGCAGGGACTGGGTCGAGAGCATGGCCTTCGACCACCTCGGCACATTCTATCATGAGCTGGAGCTGGACGCCGTCAATCAGGCGTTGCTCGGAACGCGCATCGGCGTGAGCTGTCTTCTGGACCAGGCTTTCGCAGCAAGTCATATCACGAAGAAGGAACATGCATACCTACATGCAGGACTACATCGGTCAAAGCTGGGAGTCTTCAGGGTGAGAATCAAAATCCACAAGTGCCCCCTTCAGATCCGACCTATTTCAAACCTCGCCGGCACGATGATTGAGCCCATAGGTAATTATCTCGTGCAGGAGTTGGGCCATGTCGTGAAGCAGCTAGATCATGTCATCGTCAGTACAGATGATTTTTGGACCGCGTGCGGCGCACGCGAATCCGGCCAGGAGCGCGACTTAGAACAATGGATGTCTCTAACCTTTACCCTTCCATCGATAGACAGCACTTCATGGAGAAAGTGACGCCGCTGGTAAGGCGTTTTGTGTCTGATTGGGGCAAGGCCAGTTTGCTAATTGAGCTGATGAGAGTCACCCTGGAGTCCAGCCTCGTCTGTTTCAAGGGAAGAACTTTCGCTCCACGTAGCGGTATACCAACTGGTCTTTCGCCGGCCGTCATCTTCGCAAACATGTACATGCACAGTTTCGACGTTTACTTTCTCGCGAACGGAGGGGGAAGGATAGATCATTATTTCCGCTTCATCGATGACGCTTTCATGTCAGACGACATGCAAGATGAAGAAATCGACACGCTGGCGAACTCATGGCACAGAGACGTACAATGGCTCAGGACAGGCAGGGACATAGTCACCTTCCTGGATCTGAACATCCAGACAGACGAGCAGGGTATGGTGTGCTTCGACCTCTACAGAAAGGAGCTAAACCTGTATCTATACCTCCCTACGACCTCAAATCATCCTCCAGGTGTTTTCCAAGGTCTGGTTGTAGGTGAAGCCACGCGCATCGCCAGAAGGACACAAAGTCAGGCCAGCCGGGAAAAACATTGGGCTTTCTTGCGAGAGCGCTTGCGGGAGAGAGGATACAACATCAGCTTCGTGAACAGGCATCTGGCCAGAGTCAGGAACGCCATGCAAAGGGAAACGCGCCACAGAGAGGTAGCACCCGCAAGAAAGTTCCATTTCAAATTGAAGTATCGGAGAGGACTGGATCCGAGAGCCGTCGGCAAAGCTTTGCGTAGGCATGCGAGCTTGTTGAATGCAGTTTTCGGCGCTCGATGTCGATGCGTATCGGCCTGGGCAGTCGATAAGAATGTCTTCCGCCAGCGCTACAGATACACTTGGTCCTGAGTTTCTCTTTTTCTTTTTTCCCAGGGGTAGGGCTGAGTCTGAGGGAGGGCCCTGGGTTTTTTTGCAATCCTTCGTTCAAGTGAGGGCGGGGGGGCACGATTTGTTGCCCCTCCCGGCGGCAGAAGCAGCAGTCATCCAATACAGGGGTGTTGTTGAGAGATCGCTGCATGCATGCATGTGTTTTTGTTTGCCGTATCGCATTGCACGCAGTATTGTGTCGATCATGCACTTGCTGTGTTCGCATGCCGCTGCCATTTTCATTCGAGTCCTGACGAGCCCCAGCTGGGGCGAAACGTTGACACGCGTAGTGAAAAGGCACGGGCTTGAGAGCGCCATACGAGTAAGGTGTGAAGAGGAAGAGACGGAGGCTCGGGCGTTGGCAGAACTGGGTTTAATGGAACCTGGTTTAGTGATGTGTACCGGGGGGCGTTCCCCCCGCCCCGCTCCGCTAACCGGAACTGCCGTCACCCGAAAAACACCAGTTACGGCAAACCTGGTTTAGTGAATCTGGCCATTTGAGGGGCCCCAGGGCCCTGCCACTGCCGGGTCCCCTCACCCGGGGTCCTAGAGGCGGAGGAGGCCGCGGAGGTGGAGGCCGATGCGATCACCGCATGGAGATTCAGCGCCCATCAAACGGGGACTCCACTAACGGGTACTTTGGCCAGTGACCCAGCGAACCCAACCCTTCCCGATGCGGGCAACGCTGCACTGCCAGAAAGAGGCCCGAAAGTGGCGACTTTCGCCAAAATGGCAAAGTACCCGTTAGGAAGTACCCGTTACGGTGCCGTTGACTGCGGCTGTGGGCACGCCAGCCGGGACGGAGTGCAGAGAGGAGGCGCCGAGGAAGCGGGATGAGAGGCCGGAGGCTGCTGCGCCTGTGGCGCCCGCGGGTGGGCGGCCGGCACCGGGGCGCCGGCCAGCGCCGAGGTGTGGAAGAATACCCTGGCCGGCTCGATCGATACAGTCGGGGCGTTGACCTAAGGAACCCTAAATAAGGAACGAGGCCCCTTTTTCCCATCAGTTAAACTTCGGTGTCCCATGGAAAACCCAACGCGCAAACTGTAAAACAATCAAGGAACACCGAGCCCCTCGCCAACGAGAAGGGTTCCTTCTTCAGCGCCCCGACTGTACTATGTGGTCGTGTCTCTGTTGGACGTCCCGAGGAGGAGGGTGGAGGATGAGGCGCAGGAGGCGATCATCGTTTTTCTCCCCGGCGTGCCGCAGCACACGGAAGTCTTTTGGGCAAGGGGAGCCTGGGGCTGGTTCTCTTCTGCCAGCCGGAGGCCAGGAGAGGCGCCGATCCGTTGACGGCGGCCGCGGCTCGAGCGGTATCCTCGAGGGAGGAGGAAGAGGATATTCAAATCAACCTGGCGAGGGACCCAACCATATGCAGCTGTGAGTGCCGCGATTGTAAATCCGCCGATCCGGCATGTGAGTTTGAAAAAGCCTGCAGCCTACAGCCTGAGCTTCAGCTCTGCTGGGGGGGGGCCGGGGTGGCTCTGCCGGGGAAGGGGGGGAGGGGGGGGGGGGACGAGTTGTGCTCCGTTTTCCGGGGGGGCTCCTAGCTTGTCGCGGCTACCCGCGTGTCTGTGGGGAGGGCATTTTTTGACACCCCTCACGAGGATCGTGGCCTCCGAGGGGGTCCCGTACTCGAGTACCCCCCCTCCCGCCCCAAGAAGCTCCCAGGAGGCCCCCAAGAGGCCCCAAGAAGCTCCCAAAAGGCCCCCCAAAAAGCTCCAAGAGGCCTCAACGAGGCCCCCAAGAGGCCCCAAAATGGCCTCAAGAAGCCCCGCAATTGCCCAAGAGGCCTGGGGGGGCCTCAAAACTGCCTCCCAGAGGCCAACTACGAGATCCCAACCAGCATCCATGAGGCCTCTGCCCCAACACCCAGGCACGGTGGCGGGATATGCCGAAGGGCACTAGATTCGCCGCTCCCTGTCGATTCATCGCAGGGGTGCCTGGCGTGCTAAACGATATGGCTTTTGGTTTTGGTTTCTTTCCAAAAGAACTCCCCCTGGGGCTCCGGCGCGTCCCGCCGGCCACCCGGAAACTGCACAAGTCAATGCCTGTTCCGCCCCAAGATGGCCTCCCAGATGCCTCCTAGACAGCCCAGATGGCCTCCAAGACGGCTAAGATGGCCCCAAGATGTATCCAAGACGGCCCAAGATGGCCTCAAGATGGTCTAAGACGGCCCAAAAGGTCCGCAAGAGGCATCCAAGACAGCCAAAGAGGCTTCCAAGAGGTCCTCCAGGAAGGCCCGAAAAGGCCAAAATCATATATTATCCTTAGGTTTTTGAAGGATTTTGGAATTTGCACCTTTTCGGCTTTCCGACGGCCCGAGACGGCCCAAGAGGCCCCCAAGATCGCCGAAGAGGCCTCCAAGATGGCCCCATGACGGCCCAAGAGGCTCCCACGACGGCCCCAAGAGGGTCCGAAGACGGCCCAAGAGGCCTCCAAGACGCCCATGATGGCCTCCAAGACGCCCAAGATGGCCTCCAAGACGGCAGCGAAGCGCCCAAAGAGAGCCCCAAGTCGGCCCAGAAAGGCTCCCAAGACGGCTCCCGACGGCGTCAGACGTGCCAGGAACCCACCAAGATGGCCGAAGTTGGCTCGAAGCTGGCCTAAGACGGCCCAAGAGGCCCCCATGAGAGCCTCCAGGAAGGCCCGAAGAGGGCAAAAACCTTGATTGCCCCAAGATTTTTAACGGATTTTGACATTTGCTTCTTTTCGGCCTTCCGGCGGCCCGAGACGGGTCAAGAGCCCCCAAAGATCGCCCAACGATCGCCCAAGAGGCCTCCAAGATGGCCCCAGAACGGCCCAAGAGGGCCCCAAGACGGCCCCAAGAGGCCCCCAAGACGGCACACGAGGCCTTTAAGACGCCCAAGACGGCCTCCAAAACGGCCCTGGAGCATTCCGAGAGGGCCCCAAGTCGGCCCATAGAGGCCCCCCAAACGGCTCCGACGGCGTCAGACGGATCAAGAGCCCACCAAGACGGCCGAACATGGCCCTAAGATGGCCCAGGACGGCCCAAGAGGCCTCCAAGAGGGCCTCCAGGAAGGCCCGAAAAGGCCAAAATCATGGATTTCCTATGGTTTTTGAAGGATTGTGGCATTTGCTTTTTGCGGCCTTCCGACGGCCCGAGAAGGCCCAACTGCCCCCAAAGATCGCCCAAGAGGCCCAAGACGGCCCCAAGAGGCCCCCAAGACGGCCCAAGAGGTCTCCAAGACGCTCAAGATGGCCTCCAAGACGGCCCAAGAGCCCTCCAAGACGTCCTCCAAGGAGGCCCGAAAGGGTCAAAATGGCCTCCAGACGGCCAAGATGACCTTCAAGATGTCCACGTGTTCCCCGAAGGCTTTCCAAACCGATTCGGGGAACACATGGTCCGATAGCTTGGCAGGTCTGGCCTCAACGTTCGGCCACATAGGCGCTTCCAAAAAGGCAGGGGGCTGCGCTGATTCGCCGTAGGCGTCTTCGATCTGCCGCCCCCTGTCGATTCATCGCAAGGGTGCCTGGCGTGCCAGATCATATCGGTTTTGGTTCTTTTCCAAAACTCCCCCTGGGGCTTCGGCCCGTTTCGCCGGGGTCCTGGAAGGCCGCGAAAACCACCTCAGCGTCCCCACAAAATCCTCCAAGACGGCTCAAGATGGCCTCCAAGATGGCCATTTTGGCCCAAGATGACCTCCAAGATGGTCCCAGATGGCCTCCAAGTTCGCCCAAGATTGTCCAAGACGGCCCAAGAGAGTCCAAGACGGCCCAAGAGGCTCCCCAGAGGCCTCCAAGACGGCTCAAGAAGCTTCCAAGAGGTCCTCCAGGAGGGCCCGAAGAGGCTCAAATCATTGATGTTCCTTACGTTTTTGAAGGATTTTGGCATTCGCTTCTTCTCGGCTTTCGACGACCCAAGACGGCCCGAGAGGCCCCCAAGATCGCCCCCACAGCGCCCAAGAGACCTCCAAGATGGCCTCAGGACTGCCCAAGAGGCCCCCAAGACGGCCCCAAGAGGGCACAAAGACGGCCCAAGAGGCCTCCAAGACGCCCAGGATGGCCTCTAAGACGGCCTTGGAGCACCCCAAGAGGGCCCCAAGTCGGCCCAGAAAGGCTCCCAAGACGGCTCCCGACGGCGTCAGACGTGCCAGGAACCCACCAAGATGGCCGAAATTTGCTCGAAGCTGGCCCAAGACGGCCCAAGAGGCCTCCAAGAGGGCCTCCAGGAAGGCCCGAAAAGGCCAAAAACACTGATTTTCCGTAGGTTGTTGAAGGATTTTGACATTTGCTTCGTTTCGGCCTTCCGACGGCTCGATACGGCCCAAGAGCACCCAAAGATCGCCCAAGACCGCCCAAGAGGCCTCCAAGATGGCCCCAGAATGGCCCTAGAGGCCCCCAAGACGGCCCCAAGAGGCCCCCAAGACGGCCCAGGAAGCCTTTTAAGATGCCCAAGATGGCCTCCGAGACGGCCCTGGAGCATTCCAAGAGGGCCCCACGTCGGCTCAGAGAGGCTCCCCAAACGGCTTTCGACGGCGTCGGACGGGCCAGGGGCCCACCAAGACGGCCGAAGATGGCCCTAAGATGGCCCTAAGATGGCCCAAGACGGCCCAAGAGCCCTCCAAGAGGGCCTCCAGAAGACCCGAAAAGGCAAAACATATTGATTTCCCTTGAGTTTTTGAAGAGTTGTAGCATTTGCTTTTTGCGGCCTTCCGACTGCCCGAGACGGCCCAAGTGCCCCCCAAGATCACCCAAGAGGCCCAAGACGGCCCCAAGAGGCCCCCAAGACGGTCCAGGAGGCCTCCAAGACGCCCAAGATGGCCTCCAAGACGGCCCAAGAGCCCTCCAAGACGTCCTCCAAGAAGGCCCGAAAAGGTCAACATGGCCTCCAGACAGCCAAGATGAACTTCAAGATGTCCACGTGTTCCCCGAAGGCTTTCCAAACCGATTCGGGGAACACATGGTCCGATAGCTTGGCAGGTCTGGCCTCAACGTTCGGCCACATAGGCGCTTCCAAAATGGGAGGGGGCTGCGGTTATTCGCCGTAGGCGTCTTAGATAAATGCAGAGTGAGAAGGGGAGGGAGGGAAAAAGAGAGCAGGGACGAGGGCGAAGGAGGATCACATCAGTCGGAGCGCCCCAGATCGGCGGCACTGGCCGGAGGCCACTACAATATCTTCTTCGGTGGCGATCCCTATGGGGCCACGAGGCGTGTGAATGGTGTGCCGAAATGAGCCGACATGGGTGGCGCGGACGCATGTGGACACCGCCACTGGGACCTTCGGTGGAACTCCGTATGAGGCCACCAAACGTGTGAGGGGTGTGGCGAAATGGGCGGCGCGGACGCATGTGGACACACCCAGTGGGGCCTTCGGTGGAATTTCTTATGGGGCCACGAAACGTGTGATGGGTGTGCTGACATTGATGGCGCGGACGCATGCGGACACCGCCACCGGGGCCCTCGGTGGAATTTCTTATCGGGCCACGAAGCGTGTGAGGAGTGCGCCGACATGGGTGGCGCGGACGCATGTGGACACCGCCACTGGGGCCCTCGGTGGAATTTCGTATCGGGCCACGAAGCGCGTGAGGAGTGCGCCGACATGGGCGGCGCGGACGCATGTGGACACCGCCACTGGGGCCTTCGGTGGAGCTCCCTATGGGGCCACGAAGCGTGTGAAGGGTGTGCCGAAATCGGTGGCGCGGACGCATGTGGACACCGCCACTGGGGCCTTCGGTGGAACTTCTTATGGGGCCACGACACGTGCGGTGTGTGTGTGTGTGTGCCAAAGCTGGTGGCGCTGATGGTGATGATGACGGCGATGACGACGACGATGGCGATGGTGACGATGCTGATTATATGACGAGGATGACGACGGAGATGGCGACGACGACGCCGCTGCTTATGCTGCTGATGGTGGTGGTGGGAGGGGGGAGGGGGGAGGGAGGAGGGAGGAGGGAGGAGGGAGGAGGAGGGAGGAGGGAGGAGGGAGGGGGGAGGGAGGGGGGAGGAGTGAGGAGGAGGAAGGAGTGGGCGCGGGGCGCTGCCTCTTCAGAACGGGGACCCAACACCACAGGAGGGTTTGGGGGAAAAAAGGCTGTGAGGCCGACAGGAGAGAGAGAGAGAGAGAGAGAGAGAGAAACGCACTCCAAGCCTGGACGCGGCTCGCGAGGCAGGAGAAGAAGAGGACAGTTGGGGAGAACAGTTTTTTTTTTTTTTTTTTGTTTTTGTTTTTTTTTTCCACCCCCCCCTGCGCCACGGCAATGCGCACAAGAAATCAGAAAACGGTGCCGGCGCGCGCGCGCTCCCCCCACGCAAAGGATAGTTGGGGAAAAAAGGATAGTCGGGGAAAAAAGGATGCGAGGCTGAAAGAAGAGACGGAGCGAGAGCCATGACGCACTCCCAGCCTGGACGCAGCCCGCTGGGCCCCCTCCGGCCCTGCGCGGGCCCGGGGGGGCGCGGGGCCGAGCACGACGAGGACGGCGACGGATGACAAGGGGGGGTGGGGGGGAAATGATGTGGGAGGGTGTGGGGGCAAGGGGGAAGATGACGAGAAATCAGGGGAGGGCGGAGAAAACGGAAGGAAAACAAGAACGGTCAGCATCGAATCGATTGGTCGGAGCGGAACGGAACAAGCACCAAATCGGGCCGCATCGGCACGGAGTCGGCCGCGCCAGGACTGCGCAACAGCACCATGCAAGCATCGGAACGCATCGCATCGTCGGGAACATCGGCATCGCATCGCATCGGGCCAGCCGAGATCGGCATCGCACCGGATCGATCGGATCGACACTGACTCCGGAGGGGCAGAGGGGGGTCAGAGAAGAGGGGAGGGCGTGAGGGAGGACGACCGCGAGGACGAGGAGACCGCGAGGGAGAAGAGGGAGAAGCGGGAGAGGACGAGGACGAGGAGACCGCGAGGATCGAGGACGAGGACGAGGGAGAAGAGGGAGGACGACCGCGAGGACGAGGAGAGGCGCACTCCTGGAGCAGCCCGGCGGCGAGGGCAGGCAGGGCGGGGAGAGGGGCGGTGAGACCCGCCAGCCGCCGGAGGCCTCTCCGGCGGCCGGCGGCGAGCAGGGAGCGCAGAGAGGCAGAGGAGGCCAGAAGAAGGAGGGACGTCCGCTCGTGGAGGCGCTTGCTCTGGAGGCGCTTGCTCCTCCTCCTCCTCCTCCTCCTCCTCCTCCTCCTCCTCCTCCTCCTCCTCCTCCTCCTCCTCCTCCTCCTCCTCGTCATCCCACGGACTCCTTCCCCCATCCAGAGCGAAACTTCGACGTCTTGCCGCCCCCCAGAGCGGGACGGAAGCACGGCGCAGAAACGGGAATCCACTACATCGGCCAGACGGTGCGGCTTCGGAGCTGAATCGTTATACCGAATAAAAGCTGGAAATGATGCCGCTCAGATTTCCAGGAGTTCCCAGCAACACTGGAAGGCAGCAACTTATCCGCCACCGTGCTTGCGAGATCTGGGCATGCTAGACTGCCAGGTGCTGCTTTGCAGGGCTTATGCTCTAGTAAGGGACTTACCCCTCAAATCGTAGACAGGAGCATGCATGCCCCCTGCTCCCGAGGCCACGATATCTCGTGAAACAATTCGAGGGATCGGCGTCCTCGAGACCACGATCCCTCGAAAAAACGGTGCGTCCGCGTCCCGCTTTTCTAGGACGGCCCAGGCAGGCAACCAAGGCAACCAACGTGGCCCAGATGCCTCGAAGATTGGCCAAGATGGCTCCAAGGCGGCAGGATGTGGCCTCAAGACGGCCCAAGGTGCCTCCAAGAGGGCCCAAAAACGCTCCAAAGGTCCTCCAAGAGAGCCCGAATAAGCCAACATCATTGATGCCCTTTGGGTGTCGAATGATTTCCGTATTCTCGCATTTTCGGGCTTACGTCAATTAAAGACGGCCCAAGAAACACCTACGATGGCCGGCCCAAGAGGCCCTTACGAAGGCCCAAGCGACATCCACGACGCCCCCGAGACGGCCTAAGAGGGCGGCGCCAAGACGGCCCCGCGACGCCCCCCAGACACCCACCGTACGGCCACGAGGACTCCAAGACGGCCCAAGAGAGACCCAACATGGCCTGAGAGTGCTCAGGAGGGCTCCCAAGCAACCCACGAGGGCCCCCACGGACCCCCCAAATTGCCTCACAGGAGGCCGAGACAGGCGCAAGATGGTCCCGAATTACATGCAAGCTCCTCGCAGAATGAAGACGACATGTGTAACATACATCCCCAGGCCGAGGAATTTTTCCTCTTGGACTACAAATATGAGAACATCAACGGATCCAATGTGATCCCTTTTCGGGTGTGGGAGAGTTTCGTGGATCCTATTCCTGTGTTGCGCGGATCCAATTTCCTGCGTGTGAAAAAACGATGGATCCATTTATTCCCCGGGAATAAATATATAATAATCATTAACATCTGGGACCCAAGGGAAATGGGATCCGCGGAGCACCGCAAACGAAGCATCATGCTATCCACGGAGCTGTGGATCTGCAGACCAATGCTATGATTCTACGGCGGAGGGGGGTCTTCCCAGGATGAAGAGGGGAAGGATGAGGGAAGAGGCAAGAGGAGGTGGGAGGAGAACATAAGGGATCGGCGCGTCGCTTCCGACATGTGGGGCTCAAGAGGACAATCTTTCGGCCTGCGGAAGTATGGCCGCCTTCCTCCTCCTCGTCCTCCTCCTCCTCCTCCTCGTCCTCCTCCGCCCTCTCCTCCTCCGCCCTCCGCCCCCTCCTCCTCCTCCTCCTCGTCCTCGTCCTCCTCTCCTCCTCGTCCTCCTCGCCCTCTCCTCCTCGTCCTCGTCCTCAGCAGCATCATCCTCACCCTCACCATTACCATTACCATCACCATCATCATCACCACCATCATCATCGCCATCGGCATCGCCGTCATCATCATCATCAGCAGCAGCATCATCATCATCATCATCAGCATCATCACCATCATCATCCTCATCCTCATCCTCATCCACATCATCATCAACATCACCATCACAATAAATATCATAATGATCACCATCATCAACCTCATCATCATCATCACCATCAACATCATCATCACCATCATCATCATCAGTATTATCTCCATCGTCAACACCAACACCATCATCATCACCACCACCATCATCACCGTCATCATAATCATTACAATCAGCATCAGCATTATCGTTTTCATGATCATCACCATCACCATCATCATCATCATCATCAGCAGCAGCAGCACTAGCATCATCGTCGTCGTCGCCGTGGTCGAAATCGTCATCGTCATCGTCATCGTCATCGTCGTCATCATCCTCACCAGCATCATCATAATCATCAAGATCATCGTAATCGTCATCGTCGTCGTCATCGTCATCATCACCCCAATCGTCATCATTCTCATCATCATCATCATCCACATCATCACCACCATCATTATCATCATCACCATCATCATCATCATCTCCCTCCTCTCATCCTCCTCCTGTATCCTCCCCACCTCCACTCCATCATCATCATCATCATCATCATCATCATCATCATCATCATCATCATCATCATCATAATCCTCATCATACTCATCCTCATCATCAACATCATCATCATCACCACCATTCCCATCATCACCAGCAGCCGCAGCAGCAGCACCACCATCATTATCACCAGCATTATCATCATCACCATCATCATCATCATCATAATCATCATCATGCTCATCATCATCATCATCATCACCACCACCATCACCATCATCATCACCAACATCATCATCATTGTCACCACCACCATCACTATCACCATCACCATCATCGTCATTGTCATCGTCATCATCAGCATCATCGTCATCGTCATCATCACCACCACCATCATCACCATCAGCATCACTATCACCATGATGATGATCATCATCATCATCATCACATTCATCCTTAGCATCAGCATTAACATTCCCCATCATCAGAATCATCATCATCATCATCATCATCATCATCATCATCGTCGTCGTCGTCGTCGTCGTCGTCGCCGTCGTCGTCGTCATCATCATCATCATGAATCCCCCAAGCCTGTCACGTTCCACGGCCTCCCGTGCCCCCTCGAATAGTCGTAACTAAGAATGCTGGGCTGGCACTGTGGCGGGACTTAATGCAGGCAACTGGATATCTGATTCCATCATTTGTTGCGTGTGGGCCGGAAACGAAATACTACCCACCCTGGAAAACAAGGGAACGGCAGTGGAAACGGACTCCGAGACCGTGTCAACTGGACGTCGGGGCGTGTTCGAATGCCCGTCAGCTGTCTGGTAGGGAGTGTGCTACTGACTACCTACCAGACCACCCCAACCCAACCCGAAGACCTGAATTTCGGGTTGGGGGGGGTAAGGGTTCCACATGTGTTTTTCCGATGTTCCCCGACCCCCCCCACTGGAAATCGAGGGTAAATCTGAGCCTTCGGGTTGGGTTGGGGTGGTTTGGTGGGTGGTGAGCTACTTCTTCGGGACGATCGGCCCTCATCAGCGCCCACGCGTCGGAACTCGGGCCGAAACGGTTGGCTCCCGACACTCTTCGCAGCCGGAGGACGGTCCCAATACGGGCCAAGACCGCCTAGGACGCCTGCAGCATGCAGACTGGCCCATGGCTAGAAGACTCCCCCGAGGCCTCCTCCAGGTGTCGCCCAAAGGCTGGCTCCAAGTCGCCACAGTAGGTCCCGCGAGGCCTCGAGCAGAGCCCTGGGAGGCACCAAAACATTGGAGTGAGTTTGGGTGTGCTTTCCAATGCTTCTGTCGGAGGGGTCCGGAGGGCTCCAAGGTGCCCCAACATGGCCCCAGACGACCCCGCGATGACCCCACGACGGCTTGATGAGCCCTCCACGACAGGCCCAAGGCTGCCCCGAGGGTCCCAGAGCCTGCCCAGAAGGAACCAGTATGGATGTACCGAGCCTCGGTGGGAGAGCTCGGTATCGCCGAAGACTGCCCCTCACTGTCCCCTAAGATGCCCCTACGCAGCGCAACAATCGTGCAATGCCATGTCCACACGACGCTACACCATCGCAGCGCGAATTCCCAGATGGCCACTAGATGGTTTTACCGAACCCCTTAGGTATGAGGATTTCGATACCTCGCTGGAACGGCGGCGTGGTCTGGGCCAGAAGGAGCTCCTCCTCCTCCTCCTCCTCCTCCTCCTCCTCCTCCTCCTACTCTGAGGCCAGAAGCGGACCAGACACGCCCTGGGCACCCCCGGTGGCCTCCCCGCAGCACGAAGACGGGAGGGGAAGCACCGCCAAGAGCCCTGGTGGGGAGAGCAGAGGATACCGACACCGCTGCTCCCCGGACCTCTCCCGGGGTGCGTTCTGACCAGAACTTCGAGGCGAATCCAGCGGTGGCGACGAGGGTTTCCCAGGAGGCCCAAAAAGGAGAACACGGGCGAAGGGGCAGAGGTATAGGTACCTTTTGCCTCCTCCGACCTGGGGAGGCGGCAGGCTTCGCAGACCGACCCGGTGCCTCTGGACCCCTCTGCCCGAGGCCGATGAGCACCTGGGGCCGCAGCAGGCTCGTTTTAAGACGGGCGTGTCCCCCTACAGGGGGATTCTCGACGAAAAATAAAAATACAAAAAATATTCCCTGATGTCCAGAAAATGCTTCAAAAGTAGTCCCCCGACTATTTTTTGACTATTTTTGAATTTTCCTCCCGTAGAGGGACGGGCCCGACTTAAGGCTCGTTGGCCCCCACGGGAGGATCGGACCCCGGTCAGTGCCGAGCGCCCGGCCCGCCGGTCGCGAATTCGAGCGCGGCCGCGCTGCGTGCCAGGAGCGGAGGGGAGGAGGAGGAGGAGGAGGAGGAGGAGGAGGAGGAGGAGGGAGGAGGAGGAGGGGAGGAGGAGGAGGAGGAGGAGGAGGAGGAGGAGGAGGAGGAGGAGGAGGGAGGAGGAGGAGGGAGGAGGAGGAGGAGGAGGAGGAGGAGGAGGAGGAGGAGGGCAGGAGGAGGAGGAGGAGGAGGAGGAGGAGGAGGGGTGCAGGAGGAGGGAGGAGGAGCAGGAGGAGGAGGAGCAGGAGGCAGGAGGAGGAGGAGGGCTTCAGGCGGAGGGGGGGGGGGGGCCTGCGCGGGCGGGAGGACACCTGGGCGGGACAGCTGCTGCGCATGGGGGGCTCTGCTTGTTCGAGGGGGGGAGTCCTGCGCAGGGGGGAGGGGGGAGGGAGGTGCAGAGAGATCGCTGGGCAGGTGGTCGCCGCCCCCGGGGCTCGTCGACCCGCGGAGCGCCCCCACCCTTGACTCCCTCCTCCCTCCCTCCTCCCCCCCCCCCCCCCTCTTCCTCCCCCTCCTCCCTCCTCCTCCTCCTCCTCTCCTCCTCCTCCTCCTCTCTCCTCCTCCTCCTCCTCCTCCTCCTCCTCCTCCTCCTCTCCTCCCCCTCCTCCGAAGACCCTTCTGCCGCGTGGCCCCCTCATCACTCGGGTCGGGCGAAAGGGGGGGATAGCAAAGGGGGGGTTTGAGAATCGGCTCAAGCAGCTGATTCTCCCGGCGCCTCCCGGCGCCGGAAGCGGCGATGTGTCGAGGAGTGGGCCCCTCGGTGAGGCCGAAACCGGCTGCATGCAGCAAGTTTCGTACCCCCCCCTTTCCCAATCCCCCCCTTTCGCCCGGCCCGAATCACGAAGGCCCCAGGAATGCACGTCGGGCCACCCGAGCTCGTCACGAATGGGGTGAGGGGGAAGGAGGAGGAGGAGGAGGAGGAGGAGGAGGAGGAGGAGGAGGAGGAGGAGGAGGAGGAGAGCAGGAGGAGGAGGAGGGGAGGAAGGAGGAGGAGGAGCGAGGGCAACTTGGGCCCAACCAGGGGGCGAGGGCAACTTGGGCCCAACCGGGGGCCCACCCCGGCCAGGGCCTCTGGAGGCCCAGGCCGGGCCTCCCGGGGCGCGGTGATGGCTGGCACGTTCGCGCCGCTCGGCGGCGAGTCGCTCCTCGTGACTGGCGCGGCGGGGACAGGCGACGACGACGACGACGACGACGACGACGACGACGACGACGACGACGACGACGACGACGTCGTGGGGCAGCGTGCGCGACAGGAGGATAGGTGTAGCGTCTGGATGGCCTGCGCGGACCGGCCGCGGCCACTCTGCGAACGACTGCTCAGTAGCGGCTCGCGTCGGCGGACGCGGCCGCCGCCAAGTCCTGTTCCGCGGCGAGGACGAAGAGACGAGGAGGAGGACGAGGATGGGAGGGGGAAAAGCGACAACGAGAAGGACGAGGACGAGAATGATATCGAGAAGGGGGAGGAGGAACGAACGGTGAGGGAGGAGGACGAGGACGAGGAGGAGGGGGAGGAGGAGGAGGAGGAGGAGGAGGAGGAGGAGGAGGAGGAGGAGGAGGAGGAGGAGGAGGGACTGTCCCATGCTGCCACCCGCGGCCACGGCCTCGCGGGCCCCACGTCCGCGGCGGCGAGGGCAGGGGCAGGGGAGAACGAAGAGGAGGACGTCGACGAGGACGAGGAGGAAGGAGGGAGGGCGAGGGCGGTGAGGAAGAGGGGGTGAGAGGGAGCAGGAGGAACGGGGCAGAGAGAGAAGCGGTGGAGGTGGGGAAGGAGCGCACGGGACAACGAAATGTACGACCCAACGAAAAGAAGGAAGGATGGAAAACGGATGCGGAAGGGTAAGATCGACCACGCGCTCGAAGACCCCAGGACTCCTCATCTGGGAGGAAGGGCCCGTCGTGGCCCAGATGATCTGAACCACGACGGGCCCTCAAACGGGCCCAATCCACCACCGAGACGCCCAAGGACACGGCTCCTTCCGAGGAGAGTCCAAGCAGAGCCAGGCCTCGCTGGAGGTCTGGCTGAGGTCCAGCTCTTGAAGGGTTCCCAGGGACGGGGGACGAAACCAAAGACGAAATACAAGGAGTAGGATTAAATCGGGCGTGTCCCCCTACAGGGGGATTTTTTGGGCGAAACATAAAAATTCTCAAATTATCCCGGCAAAGCAACCTAACAGCGATGTGTAGAAGCATATCTGAAAGCATTCCCCTTAAGATTCAGATGAAAATCCAATTGTAGAATTCTGCTGTTCTCGCAGTCGTAGTCGCATTCGCGATGACAGTCGCAGCGGCAACGGCAGTCGCAGTCACAGCCTCAGCCTCAGCCTGCCTCAGCCTCAGCCTCAGCCTGCCTCAGCCTCAGCCTGCCTCAGCCTCAGCCTCAGCCTGCTTCAGCCTCAGCCTCAGTCTGCCTTCAGCCTCGGCCTCAGCCTCAGCCTGCCTCAGCCTCAGCCTGCATCAGCCTCAGCCTCAGCCTCAGCCTGCCTCAGCATCAGCCTGCTCAGCCTCAGCCTCAGCCTGCCTCAGCCTCAGCCTCAGTCTGCTTCAGCCTCAGCCTCAGTCTGCCTTCAGCCTCGGCCTCAGCCTCAGCCTGCCTCAGCCTCAGCCTGCCTCGGCCGCAGCATCAGCCTGCCTCAGCATTCAAAATGTGGCCCAGGAATGGAGTTCTGGGAACTAGAAGAACACGAAGTGGCCTACAGTTGGCTCCGGGCATTCAAAATCATGCCCAGGAATGGAGTTCTGGGAACTTGAAGAGCACGAAGTGGCCTACAGTTGGCTCCGGGCATCCAAAATGTGGCCCGGGAATGGAGTTCTGGGAAGTCGAAGAGCACGAAGTGGCCTACAGTTGGCTCCGGGCATCCAAAATGTGGCCCGGGAATGGAGTTCTGGGAAGTCGAAGAGCACGAAGTGGCCTACAGTTGGCTCCGAGCATCCAAAATGTGGCCCGGGAATGGAGTTCTGGGAGCACCAAGAGCGAGGATGTCCCAAGCGATTTCGGCGGCGCAGCCTCGGCGGCAGCCTGTCCGGGTCCCGCCCAGACCCCCCTGAGGAGTCATGATGCTTTCTTTTGAGACCACTAGAAACCTATCAGCAAGAGCTGTTAGGTAAAAATACCCCCCAAATGTGAAAACACAGTAAAACAAATCATCCCCATACTTTCTTTTGACAATTTTTGAATATTCCCCCTGTAGGGGGACAGGCCCGACTTAAGAGTAGGGCCTGATCACGCTGCGGGGAAGCCAGCTCCACTTGGCGGCGCTGCCTCAGGCAGCGGCTCTGCGACGAGGGGGGAGGGCCAGGAGGAAGACGCGGACGAAGACGAGTGGGGCAGGGAACAACAAATATGACTCCTCCTCCTCCTCCTCCTCCTCCTTTCTGTCTCCTCCCCCCCCTCATCCGTGATATCTTGGCCCCTTCCTCCACCACCTCCGCCTCCACCTCCACACCTCCACCTCCATCCCAAGTCCTTATACATAACTCCTTCCTGTCGCACCGGGAGACGTCTGTATGGCTGGCCGGGCGCTTCGCCCGGGACTCCCTCACCAGTTCTGGCCCTCAAGCTAGAACAGAGACGCAGCAAGGCTTCACGGATGGAGGGCGGGCCGTTCTCCTGAGTGTGGCTTTCGCCTCAGCGCTGCGCGCATTCGTCCCGAAAGCTTGCAGAAGCTTCACGGTTGGCGGGCGGGTCGTTCTCAAAGTGTAGCTCTCGCCTGAGCGCCGCGCGCTCTCGTCTTAAGACGAGTTTACAGCCGTTTCAAAACTTCTCATGGCCGACATCCCAGAAATTGTGTCTGGGCACGATGTTAGACTGTCGGAGCGCAACGTTCTACGTTGATTCGCGGTGTTGAAGTCCCAGGGATGGTGTTCTGGCACGATTCAACATCGTCAGGACGCAACAGTGCAGTTGATTCGCGGCGTTGAGTCCCAATAGTTGTGTTCTGGCACGGTTCAAGTTTTGCAGCCAATTGTCTTCCAAGACGACACTTCCCTCAGTGAAGACGACCCCCTGTAGTGACCCGTCAAGAGGGAACCTGGAAGGGGGCTTCTTGCAACATCGTTGATGAGTCTTGGGGTTACCCTGGTCCTCCTCCTCCTCCTCCTCGTCCTCCTCCTCTTCCTCCTCCTCCTCCTCCGCCTCCTCCTCCTCCTCCTGCGCTTCCTCCTCCTCCTCCTCCTCCTCTTCTTATGATTCTTCTTCTTCGTCTTCTTCTTATTATTCTTCTTCTTCGTCTTCTTTTGATTCTTATTATTATTCTTCCTCTTCCTCCTCCTCCTCCTCCTGCTTATTATTATTCCTCTTCTTCTTCTTCTTCCTCCTCCTCGTCCTCGTCATCCTCGTCCTCCTCGTCCTCGTGCTCGTGCTCGTCCTCGTCCTCGTCCTCGTCCTCCCCCTCGTCCTCCTACCTCCTCCTCCTCCTCCTCCTCGTCCTCGTCCTCGTCCTCGTCCTCGCCCTCCTCCCCCCCCTCCTCCGCCTCCTCCTCCTCCTCCGTCCTCCTCCTCCTCCGTCCTCCTCCTCCTCCACGCGACGGCGGCGGCGGCGGCGACGGGCGGCGGCCCTCGGGCGTCCTGCTCTTCGCGGAGCTGCCGGGCCTCGCTGCCACGGGCGGGGGCGGCCAGCGGCGCCGGCCGGGCCCGAGAGCAGGAGAGGACACTCCTCCTCCTCCTGCTGCTCCTCCTCCTCCTGCTCCTCCTCCTCCTTCACTCCTCCTCCTCCTCCTACCTCCCCTCCTCCCTGTCCCCTCCTCCTCCTCCTCCTCCTCCCCTCCTCCTCCTCCTCTCCTCCTCCTCCTCCTCCTCTCCTCCTCCTCCTCCCTCCTCCTCCTCCCTCCCCCTCCTCACTCCTCCTCCTTCCACCTCCTCCTCCTTCCCTCCTCCTAGTCCTCCTCCTCCTCCTCCTCCTAGTCCTCCTCCTCCTCTCCTCCCTCCTCCTCCTCCTCCTCCTCCTCCTCCTCCTCCTCCCCCTCCTTCTCCTCCTCGTCCTCCTTTTCCTCCTCCTCCCCCCACCTCCTCCTCCTTCCTCCTGCCCCTCCCCCTCCTCCTCGTTCCTTTTCCCTGATGAATTACTTTTCCCTGTCGGCCTCCGAGGCCGGTCGAAAGGCCGGGCCCAGGCGTTTCGCTTGAAATTCCCTCACCAAGTACGACCTTGAAGCTTAAACATTGGCAGCAATTTCGCGGATTGAGGGCGGGTGACTTTCAAAATGTGGCCATCGCCTTTGCTCCGCGCATATTCATCCTAAACACTTGCAAGAGCTTCGCGGATTGAGGGCGGGTGGTTTTCAAAATGTGGTTCTCGCATTAGCGCCACGCACATTCGTCTTCCTAAAACTTGTTGCAACAGTTCGCGGATTCAGGGCGGGCGTTTTTTTTGATGTGGCTCTCGCCGTAGCGCCGCGCGCACTCGTCTTAACCATTTGCAGGAGTTTCACGGATTGAAGACGGCACATTCAAAATGTGGTTTTCGCACTAGCGCCGCGCACCTTCGTCTCAAACATTTTCAAGGTTTCACGGGTTCCCACGGTCAACGTACCAGAAATGATATTTTGGAACATGTCAGGATTGTCCGGGCACAACAGTTAGGTTGATTCGCGGTGTTGAAGTCCCCAGGATGGTGTTCTGGCAAGAAGCAGGACCGTCAAGACGCAACAGTCCGGTTGATTCGTGAAGTTCGTGTCCCGAGAACGGTCTTCTGGCACGCTTCAAGATCTTCAAACGTTGTCTCCCAAAGGGGGGCTGCCCTCAATGGAACTGAACCCTTGTCGGGGCCTATCACGAGGGAGCTTGGAAGGAGGGTTTATTCCAACATCGTTGATGGGTCTCGGGTTTACAGTCGTCGTCCTCCTTTTCCTCGTCCTCCTCATGCTCCTTCTCCTGCCCCTCCTCCTCCTCCTCTTCCTCCTCCCCCTCCTCCTCGTCTTTGTTCTAACCCTCCTCTTCCTCCTCCTCGTCTTCTTTGTCCTCCTTTTTTTCCCCGTCCTCCTCTTCCTCTTCCTCCTCCTGCTCCATCATCCTTCTTCCTCATGAATCCGCAGACCCTTCGGCGTGCGTGGGACGCTTTTCTCTTAGCGTCGTCGTCATCGTCGCCGTCACTCCCAAGGTAGTTGAGGGACGCGGAAGAATAACGTCGTAATTAAGTCGAACGGACGCCCCTTTCCCCCTATCCCTTCCCTGCCGGACGGGGGCCCCGGGTCAGAGTACCGCCCCCTTCTGGGGTCCTGGCGGCTCCTGGAGAGGTCGCCAGCGGGAGTCCCTGGGGAGGAAGTGTAAGTCATAGGCGGCAGCGGGTTGCCGTTGATACGACCACCTTGGATGAGGACAGCTGGCGCCCACTCGCCCACGCACTCGCGATCCATGCCTGCCGAGCGAGATGAGTCGTAGGCCGCTTAGCGAAACCGTTGAGATCCGAGTTCGCCTCTGCCCGAACCACTGTCTCCCGCACTCGGCGTTGGAAGGTCACGCGGGCCTACTGTTCGAGGCCCCCAGGCGCGGAGGCGTCGCATGTTGCCGCTGCCGCCACCGCCCGCGCCCATGCAGGCGACGCAGCCCAGCAACCATGCCCACTCTGATGGCCTCCTATCCAGATGGGCCCCTCCTGGTGTCGAGGAGGCGCGGCAGCCCTGGTACCCGCCAGCGGCGATGTCCTGGTATTGATCATCAGAACCGTCGTGGGTATCTGTCCCTGGTGTGTTCCGCCTCATTATGTGTATTCTCTCCTGTCGCGCGATTGGAGTGCTGGCTGCACTCGGAGCGCACCACCACATAGTGGCGACAAAAACTCGTCGGGGGGTCGTATTGACATTGCACTGAACACTGCCATGTGCGCGACAGTCAAGAGGAGTACGCATAGGGATCCAAGCCTGCCAGAGAGCAAAGAGTGCGCAGGTACCGTTGAGGGTCATGTCCCGGCGAACCGATAATTTGGAGTCCCGAAACGGTGCGGTGACAGACCGTGCGGTGACCTCGAAATCCCCCAAGACCTCACCGCGCGGTCCGTCAACGCACGGTTTTGGGACCTCGGATGCCCCAATCGCTCGAGACATCATCGAAGAACGACCCAAGTCCCAAAACCACGCGATGACCCCAGATCACCACCGACTCACCACGCGGCGCGGTCACCACCCCGTTTGGGGCCCCCCGAGATAACGAGTACCCCCAAGCTTGTGTAGCGATGCCCCGGAAGGATGGCAACGCAGTTGCCCGACCCTCCTTTGCATCCCCGCACTTGCCTGCATGCGGCCCCCCCCCAGTTTGCACCGCATAATTGCGGACCGCTCGGGGCGCTTTGCCGGCGCCGACGATGTGATAGTCGGATCGAACGACTGCTTGGCATGGTCGGCTACGCCCACATGCGGATGCAATGAGGGCGATGCGCCCCTTGCCTCTTCCCCCTTCGGGCTTCCGCAACACAGATGCGAATAGCTCGGGGCCCACAGGAGACTGCTGTGAAGACGTATGGGGCCACGGGCATCTCGAACAGAAATCGAGGATGCCCGAGGGGGAACAAGGCGGGCTGGGGAACGCCGTCGTTCTCGTGGGTGTCCTGGTAGAGGTACGAGGGCGTTCCCCCCGTGATCGCATCTGGCGGCTGGGCGGGCGCTGCCCCGACGGTCATTCGGGGGCCGTCGCCTGCCGCGATGAACAAGTGAGATGCATGCGAACACGGAGGGCGCGGCCCCGTGCGAGATCACAGCTGGGGAAGTAGAACGGTGATCATGAGGAGATCGCACTTGTTCTGGTTGCATAGATTGGCAAAGTGGCGGATCCCTCGCCGTCGGAGCAGGGCAGCAGGGAGGCGCGATGGCGGCGCGTGGAATGGAGCCGAACCTCTGCTACGAATCACTAAAACATCAGGATGAAATATCATTGTTTGGCGGCGCAAATAACGCAACGAACTGTATATAACGAGCATGGCACGAGCACGGAGACTGCAGTCTCGGGACCCCCGAGAAATAGTCGGCAGCGGCGGGGAGAGACAATGAGGAGACGCAGAGGGCAACACAATGCGGTGACCTACCGTTCGAGTAAGAGATCGCTCGGTGGGTGACTTTGTCACGACTGGCCCGCCGCGGCCGCCGCCGGCGCGCTGGCGGCGACGGACGGCGGGCTGGCGCTCTCGGCCCTCTCCCTCAGGGGGGCGAGGAGAGGCCCGCCGAGGCGCGCCGCTCGCGCGGAGGCCGCCGCTGCCCTCGGCGTGGCGCCCTTCTCGCAGGAGCCCTGACCAGTGCGCTGCAGTCTCCTTCCTGGCCCCGCCTCGCACGGCAGCGCTGGTCCTCCTCGCAGCCACTGCCCTTCTCACATTGCTCGCATTTCTCGCACTCGGCGGATCGGGATGGCACGCCTATTCTTTACCCCCTGTCGTCTGCAGGATCTGCACTTCGAAGTCTGTCCTGAGCGGCCTGGAGGGTTTCCCGTTGGAGCCTTGGATGGTGAGCGTGCGGCCGTGGCCGCCGTCGCCCCGCGCCCACTGCCTGTGCCTCTTCTCCACCTTCCTTGAGTCCGCCTCTGGGAGGGCCTCCCGCTCGCCGCGGGTGTCCTGTGCCTCCCATTTGCAGCCGGATCCATCGTTGTAGCTGTCGACGTCTGGTTTCTGCTTTGCCCCGTCCCCCTGCTCGCGCTGGCGCCCGCTCGGGCCTAGCAATTTGCGGGAGATCTCGGCTCGAGCTCGCCGCATCAACCTGCTGGTGTTCGCCTTCCCCTTTTCGCGCGCACTGGTCCCCGCGCTGTAGCTGATCGCGTCGGGCCCCCACTCTCCCCCCGCTGATCGTGCTCGCCGAACTCAGAGTCGCGGATAGGGGTAGCGGGCCTGATCGCAGCATTCGTTGCCCCGATCGCAACGCTGCAGCAGATCAGGTTTGGCTCCGTCTTCGCCTCGCACTTCTCGCACTCTCGATCCCCGGCGTCCCCGTTGATGCCACCGTCGCTGGTCTCTGCGTTGCAGTTGGTCACTGCGGGCTCAACCTTCGCCTCCGTAACCGAGCCCCGTTCCGATTTCGCAGGTCCAGCCATGGCGACGAGGGGGCCCGAGGAGGTCAGGCTAGGGTAGATAAAGGGCCCCAGCTTCGCCGTCTCCTTCTCGCGCGTGCCGGCCCCCGCGCTGTAGCTGATGATGTCGGGCTCCGTCTTCGCCTCCGACTTCCCGCGGGCGCTGCTCACAGGGCTGTGGCTAGGGGAGTTAGCGGGCTCCAGCTTCGCTTCCCTCTCCTCGCACGCTCTGATCGCTACGCTGCAGCTGGTGGCGCTTGGATCTATCGTCGCCTCCAACTTCTCGCGCGCGCCGCTGGTCTGTCTGGCGCAAAGACATGCCATGGAGGCCTCCCGCACCTTCTCGCATGCCCTGCTGACCGCACAGTGGTTGGCGATATCGGGCACTATCATCGCCATCCCCTTCTCGCATCCTGGACCTAGCCACTTGTCGGCGATGTCTTTCCTGGCGGCCCACGGCGCTGAGCTGACTCCAACGCACTCGCTGATGCATTCCGCTTTCGCTGGTCTGGCCGTGGCGACGAGGGGCGGGGAGGGGACTAGGCCAGTACTACTGTGCTCCAGCTTTGCCTCCGCCGCTGCTGCAGCCCGATTCCCCGCGCATGCGCCGTCCTC